CCCGATCTGCCAACCCATCCTCGAACTCTGCAGGGAAAAGGGGGGAGAGATGGCATCAGGGCATCGCTTCCATAGGGAGAAGGCAGCCGTGCCATCTGCACCCCCCCTTGCCCGTGGTAAATCCCCCCCCCCAACCCTGTGGTGGGGGGGGGGCTCACCTGGCCCTGGGGGCTTCCCGGGGAGGCAGGGGCTGAGCCTCCCCACGCGCTCGTGCGAGACCAGTCGGGCCAAACGCAGCCCCTCGTCCATCAGCGTCTGCTGCAGGATGTGGCGGCTCCACAGCCCGTGGGGGGGGAGGCCGAGGGGCACGTCGGGGGCCACGCCGGGGGGTGGCGTCAGCCGGGGACAGGCCCCCGCCGCTGCGGAGAGAAGGCCGAGAGTCAGTGCACCGGGGGTGGGGGGGTGGCACCCCGGGAAGGGAAGGGGCCCCCCGGGAAGGGGAAGGGGCCCCCACTCACCCTGCAAGTGGCCGTCGAGGCTCTCCCCGGAGAGGCTGCCCGTGTCCTCCTCCAGGCTGGCACGGAAGGCAGCCCCGGGGGGCTCCGGCCCCACCGGCAGCGGCAGCAGCTCGGGCCGACTCTGCTCTCCCACCTGCCGGGAGCGCGGGGGGGGGGGAGCGCAGGGCACCGTCCACAGACCCCCCATCCCTCCGGCGGGGGGGGAGGCTCCGAGCCACCCACCCCACGATAGCCACACTGCACTCTGGCCCCACGGCCACCAGCCCAGAGCTCCTCGCTGCCTGCCCCATCTGGGGTGGGCACCCCCGGGCATGCTGCGCCGTCCCGCCTGCGCTTGCACCCCCGCACCCCCCCGGCGTGCACCCACCTCCTGCTTGAGCCGCTTGGCCACGGTGGCTCCGCTTTCGTCGGGATGTGCCCTGTGTGTGTGGGGGGGGGAGATGGGGCTGCGTCAGGCGCGGGGGTGGCAGCGGCAGGCGATGCCCGCCCAGCCCCCTGCCACGCCGCGGGCAGCGCCAGCCACGCGTGGGCGGCCGCCCGGGCAGGGCGGTGCCGCGGGCCGGCGCGGAGCGGGGCTTTGGCGCAGATGGAGCCGGGGGCGGCAAAAGGCGGGGGAGCAGCCGGGGGGAAAAGGCAGCCGGGCCGTGGCACCCGACGGGCAGGGGCTCAGAGGGAAGGGGGCAAGG